TTAGCTGCCATTGTGCTACATACTGGGTGTCCAGTGCGCTCTTGTACCCTTAAGGATTTATCATTTTCCTTCCACTTCACAATTATGTGCCACTTTGTGTTGGTCTATCACATAAAATCCCAACAAAATATATTTAAGTTTTTGGTTGTAACATGACAAAATGTGAAAATTTCAAGGGGTATGAATACTTTTTCATGGCACTGTAGATGTATCTTTACAAATACATCAAATTTTTGCTAGCTTTGAAAATCTGCCATTTGCACTTTAACCCACATCTGGTGAAAATGTCACTTGCTTAACCACTTGCCAACTGCGTTATAGTCAAATGACGTCTACAGCGTAGTTGTTCAGTTCTGGGAGGGCGTCATATGACGTCCTGCCAGAACGCGCCCTCCCGCGAGTCCCCAGCGGCGTGCACCCAGCGACCTCTGTGATCGATCGATGTGTCCTATGGACATAGCTAATCACTTGATGAGGTAAAAGGCCAATCATAGTGGCCTTTTACCACATAATCAGCTGTGTCCAATGACACAGCAGATCACAGAGTAAATACAGTTGCCGGTTATCGGTTGCACTGTCACAGAGTGAGGAAAGTACTGCCGATAGCCGGCAACTGTCACAAAGCAGATTGGCACTGATCATCAGAGCACTGAAGATCAGTTCCCTGATGATCCGTGCCCAGCAGTGCCACCCATAAGTGCCCAGGAGTGCCACCTATCATTGTTGCCCAGCAGTTGTACCCAGCAGTACTGATAAGCATTGCCCAGCAGTGCCGCCCATCAGTGCCAGCAGTCAGTGCCACTAGTCAGTGCTGTCAGTCAGTGCCAATAGTCAGCGCAGCCAATCAGTGCCGCCTATCAATGCCGCGCATATCAGTGCAGCATCATCATCAGTGCCTCTTCATCAATGCCCACCAGTGCCACCTCATCAGTGCCACCTCATCAGTGCAGCCTATCAGTTCCCATTAGTGCTGCTTATCCATGCCACCTAATCAGTGCCAATCAGTGCTGCCTCATTAACGCACATCAGTGAAGGAGAAAAATTACCTGTTTGCAAAATTTTACAATAGAAACAAAGAAAAACTTTTTTTTTGCACTTTTTTGTTTATAGTGCAAAAAATAAAAACCAGTGGTGATTAAATACCACCAAAAGAAAGCTCTGTTTGTGTGAAAAAAATGATAAAAATGTCATATGGGTACAGTGTTGCATGACCGCGCAATTGTCATTCAAAGTGTGACAGCGCTGAAAGCTGAAAATTGGCCTGGGCATAAAGGGGGTAAAAGTGCCCAGTAGGCAAGTGGTTAAACCCTTTTAGGTCAAGACTGCACAAATACATTCCCAGTTCCCCACATATATCTTCTCTTTTACTCTCAATTTAGCTCTTCTCTCAATATTCCTTTGCTATTTATTGCCAGCTAAACAAAATCAATACTCCACTTCTTCCTTACTGATGCCAGAGCTTTAACACCTATTTACTGGAATACCACCATGACCCCCACCATATCAGAGTGGGTAACTGAGGTCTGCCACTTGATGAGAATCAAGAAACTGATAGCTCAGCATCATGATACATTTGAACTTTTCAGAAACAAATGGCTGCCTTGAATTACTTTTATGGACTCTTCCATTTCTCTTTTCAAGTCTCTGACATGAGCCTCTTTCCTCTCTTGCTACTCTCTGCTTTCACTATAGAACAACTTCTAAATATCTCGCTTTTTAAATGACTGATTAATCTTCAAAGTAGATCTTGGGCCAACCCCTTCCCCCCTTTCTCCTCAACTTTATCCCTCTATCCTATCATACCTCTCCCCTTTTTCCTCCCCCCCCCCTTCTTTTCCAGTCCTTATCTACGCTCCTCTCTATAACACTAATACCAATCATTTGTCCATATCCCCCCCAACTTAAATACTTTACTCTCTTCGGTATCCTTACATCACTACACTGTCTCCCCGTGCCAACATTTATTCTGCAACTTATAGCTGAGCCTGAGGAAGTATCAAACAACTTACCCTCTTGCCTTAAGGCTTGGTTCACATCTGTGTGGGTGGTGCCGCTGTGGGACCCACACAAATACATGCAGCCACACCACCCACACAGAGGAATGCAGGACCCACAGGTGGGTGCCATTAGTTCTAATGGCACACCACCCACACTGGAAATTGCAACCGTACTGGGAACCTCGGTTCCTGTGCGGGCTGCGATTTCCCAAGTAGTGCAGAGACGTCCCAGGGCATGGGAGTCCATTTATGCTATGTGGAGAGGCGTGTGTCCCTTCCCTCCAATCAGCTCTCAGAGCTCTCCTCCCTAAGCTCTGCAGAATGCAACTTCAGCTTCCACCCCATTTTTTTCTGACAGCTTAGACAAGTTTTACAAATTCATCACTTTGAACAAATGTAGAGAAAAGAGTTCAGATAAACAGTTACAACAAATGTAGGAGGATTTGTTTAATCTCTGTGTATCATCTGATGCCAGCTACATCACTGGGTTTATTTAAGGGTTTACAACCACTTTTAACTGATAACAGTTCATATATTTTCAGAGACATGAGAAGGATCCTACAACGTGTATACCCCACCTGGGCAGTTAAAATGCAAGAATCCCCTCTGCTTTGTTCCTGGGTCAGAAATAAATTGAATTAACCTGTAGACGGAACTCTATCCTTGCATTCCTAATCATCCCTATAATTCCCTTCCTCTATAACTTTATACATCTTGACATGCTGTACAGGCATTATTGGAACTTAAAATATGTCTTCTTCATGTGCTTATTTTTCCTTAAAGGAGAAGTACAGCCATAGCTCTTTTGGCTGTATTTCTCCTGTGGATCATAAGAATGCAGTTCGTTCTGCACTCCTGTAACCTGTTTTCAGCTGACAGCAGGCTAAAGCTAGATGTCGGCTGATGTCACTCCAGTTCAGGCTGGGGAAAGGTCCCGACTTTAAAGTCAGGATCCACCACAGAGTCTGGAGCGGCACCTGGCTCAGCCTCTCAGTGATCCGCTGAGAGCCTGATCCAGCCGCTCCCTCCCCCTCCGCAGCCCTGTGCTCCAGTAAGCACGCAGTGGGGGGATAGAGCTGACAGTGGTGACTGACGGTCACCGCTCTGTGCTCAGAGTGGCTGTGAGAACTTGCAGCTTCAAACAGTGTTTATCAGCCCAAGGCCTCCTTTTTTTGATAACTTACCTATTTTTTAAAAAAAATCAGTTTATGCATACTTTAAATCCATAAACATTCTAGCCAGTCATGTGACATCATGAGAGGTCTTTTTTCTCCCCCTTCAGTTTCAGTGGTACTCTTGCACAGAACAGCACTTATATTATGACATGCGAGTGCCATTCTTTGCAGCAGTGCTTTGAGCTAGGGTTGGCAGTGTTTATATTTGTCAGCTCTGGTGTGGTTCCAGTAGTTGAGCTCCTGTTCCAGACGTACTCTAGAGCCTAAGGAAACTCTCAGTTCTACCTCCAGAACAGCTCCCACACTCCCAACTCCTGCCCCCGAGCTGCTGCAGCTCAAAAATGACTAAAAGCTTCTCTGTTCACCTATTGAAAAAATACAAAACAAAGTACGGTAATTAACTTTTTTTTTTATTCTTTTAGAAATAAAAGCCAGGATTACGCTTTGAGGATTACCCTATACTGTAAATATAAAGGTTATTGCTGTCATCTTTATATTTACAGTATAGGGTAATCCTCAAAGTCCTCCCCAAACACCTATGCAAATTTGGCTTTTATTTCTAAAACAATCAAGAAATAGTCATATACTTTGTTTTGCATTTTTTATGACATTCACTGTTCTGTAACAAATTTATTTTAGAATGTTGGACAGATTTACTTTTATTAAAACAAATTGTTTTATTTGTGTAAGTCAAACTTCCTTTATAAATGGCCCTAACTAAAAAATAATTTTGGTTAAAAAAAAATGATGATGTCATTGGCCATTCCTAAGAGAATACTGACTCAAATGTTGCTGGGGGTGGTTATTACTGACCTTGAACTTTTTCCAGTTTCCTGGAAATTTCTCACCCACCCAGATGTCATGGATATGTTGGCAGTTTTACTTTGCTAGCAGTTGAATGGCACCTGCTTAATGCAATTTGGGGCCTATGGTTAATCAGGTGCATGTCAAAAAACGTATGGGTAGAAGATGCATTTAGGTGGAGTTCAGTGCTTATAGTTCCTCTGTGTTTTTGCTTAAAATGTAATGTTGCTCTTTACTGTTATAATGGGATAAGTGTGAGATTTTTTAACCCATTTAATCTATGGCCTTGTCTATTCTAAAATAATTAGTTTGAGTTTTTACTGAACTAGACTCTCCTTAAATTATTAATTTATTATTCATGCCTATGCTTTTCCAGCAATCAAATAATCTCCCCATTGGAGAGAATTTATCTCAGTCCATGTCCCTGTTATACCAAGACAACAAATGAACATATGTTGGAACGTGTAGATCTTTATAAGTGTTATAATTTGGGAAAGGGGGCTAATAGTGGCACACTTAATGCACCTTAATGAATTGGAGGTGAGAAAAAATACTGGGGATGTGGTTTGATAGTGACAGGCCTGCAAGTGATTTAATTATAGTAATATGGTCCACTGAACAAACAGCACTGACTATACAGTTCACTGGGAACAAATTTCAATACATATCCTGACAATACAACCCTGACAACCCTAATAATACTTGGGCAGCATATATTTAGTTGTGACAATGCGAGAACAACAAATGGTCCTTTGTTACAATATGGGGTCAGTGACCATAACAGTGACAATAACTGGAGTCCAGTCTGCCTACTTCCAACATTGCTCACCATATTAGGTATTAGTATGCATAGGTGGGTGTTTGCGTCTGTGGTATGTTGATTACCATATATCGCAAATCAAATAAACAACTCTTATTCATGTTATCAACATTTTGGTGGTCATATGACTAACTCTGGTGCTACATTGTTTTTGAACATGGATATGTGCTTTTTCTGATTGACAGTGCTTTCCTAATTTGGCAGGTCCTGCTCCGAGCTACGCTCCATCTCCAGCACATGCTTACCCAGCACCCACACAAGAGCCAACAAGCCGTCCACCATGGGTGACTGATGACAGTTTCTCTCAAAAATTTGCACCAGGAAAATCTACATCTACTGTTACTAAGCAAATCCTTCCAAAAGCAGCACCACCACCACCAGCTCCAATCACCACTCACAGCTATACACCTCAGCCCGTGAGTCATCCCCCCTCACAAGCACCTCGGGGGCTGATCCAGCGTGCTGAGAGATGCCCAGCAAGCAGCAGGACCCCTCTGTGTGCACACTGCAACAGTATTATTAGGTATGTACAACACCAATAAAAAGATGAGATTGGCCAGAAGCCAAATGGTAAACATGGCTCTATTTTACATGATTCTGAACTGCTGCATTTAGATGAGGGAAGTGGGAGTCTATTTAAAAAGCAGCAGTACGATCACAGTGTGTAACCTCTAATGCCTCATGAAATTCTCTTTGCTTGAAAGAAAAGTATAGCCAAACATTCTTTGGTTATGCTTCTCTTTTGGGTAACAGGAGTACATTTACTAATGATCTCCTGTAACCCAGAGTCAGCTGATAGCGGGCTAATACTGTCTATCACCTGCTGCAGTTGTGTATTTAAGATGATGGTTATGTTTGTTATAGCTAAATGTTCAATCGTTTTTAGATTGATGGATTTTCTTTAACATTTTTGGGTTCCAACACTAATAACCATACTGATATTTTGCATTCGGATGATTATATAGAGGACCTTTCTTAGTGGCAATGGGTCGGTCATGGCATCCAGAGGAGTTTAACTGTGCCCACTGCAAGACCTCCCTGGCTGATGTGAGTTTTGTTGAGGAGCAAAAGGGCGTTTACTGTGAACGGTGCTATGAGCAGTTCTTTGCTCCAACTTGTGCTCGCTGCAACACTAAGATCATGGGGGTAAGTAACATTTTATCTGCACCTAAAACACTTAATTATTATGTAGATACATATTTTGGAAATTTTGCTATCCTTAAAGTGGAACATCACCCTAAAGGGGAAGTCCCTCTTTATGCCCTCCTCAACTTCTCTTTTACTTTGGCACTTTATTTTGGGGGGGCGTGTACCTGCTTTTGACAGGTATCTACTCCCACTTCTGGTCAGATTGCCATGGTGTTTCCACTGGAAGTTCTTTCCCTCCCCCCGCAGCCACAACCTTCTGGGACACATGATAGGTCCCAGAAGTATGCAGGACCATTCATAAAGACCAGTAGAAAGCCGGTTGTGAAGCCACAAGGAACCACAGCCGGCTTCCCACAGTAAACATGCTGAAGCTGAGGACCCAAAAAAACCAGAGAAAAAAGCTGAAAAAAAACAGTACAGTCTTTTTCTTATGTTTCAAAATCTATTACAGCAAAGTAAACTGTATACAGTAGTACACGGAGTAGACCCAATCACAAAAATCTCATATGCTTAAACATGCTGAGATTTCAAGAGTGTTTTCAAACTTTCTAAATCTGCAGCATAAATTTAAAGAACTCCTGTTGATCCTGCCATAAAGGCTCTGTTTACACACTTCCTATTATGGGATGATAACAGTCTGCCAGTTGTGCTCTTGTGTTGTCACCTTGTCACAAGCAGCCAATCCTAGCATGAATGCGTTTAAACAGTAGTGAGTACAAGAGGCTTGGGGAGACTAGCCCAAATGAAATTCAAAAAGGATGATAAAAATGGAAAACACATTTTAGGGAAAAAAATGGTATAAAAAGAAAAAAAATGATGTGCTTTGGAATGTTGAATGTCACCCAGCTACAGTTTAAAATTACATTAATACATCAACAATATGCCTAAATTACTGGAGAAAAAAAACACTTCCACACACTCTTCATACAACACACACAACAGAAATTGTCTTCCCTACTTTACCCTTTGAAACACCAACTGGGTTCTAAAGTTAGCATACTCCTTTGTGTTATACACTAGAAAGTACAGAACTATGGGAATTTTTGTGTCACTTACCTGCCTTTAGTGGCAACTACACTGGAACAATCAGATGAAGGAAGTTTTGCTGCCCCTGAATAGTCAGCTGGTCCCATTAATTCCGACATGTTTACATTGCCAACTTGTCCTAATAAATGGACAAGGGATTTAATTGGTCCCTTTTTTACCAGTAACAGAGGTCAATGAGTAATAACTTATATTGAGTCCAGGTTTAATACCTTATATTGCCTGACAAGAGGACACAAAATTGCACATAACCCCCTAAATTCCAGTATTTCTGGTTTTAATGTTTGTTTTGTTTGTCTCTTTTCTAAAGGAATTAAATATTAGTATATAATAACTATTAATGTAAGTGTTACTTTCCAAGGTACAGCTGATGCATCATAGAATATATTCACTCAGAGGGGTCTTATTAATAGTAAATGTTTCTAGGAGCTAAAATTCATTGTAGCTAATTACACTGTACAATCCCAAAGTACACAGAAAAAAAACCAAAATAATCCAAAATTACCCTGCGCTTAGGAGAAAAATAAATGAATAAATATAATAAAACTCGTAACCAAATATGTAACCAATCACCACAGCTACCTTCCAATGTATATAAAGTTCAACAAAATTTAAATAAGGGTACAGACCACTATAAACCAATTTTCAAAGCAGTGCTGTGATACGTAAGTAAAACATTACACATATAATCAAAAAACACTGTGGAAACATTGCAAAAGGTCCAAACAAAAGTCCAAATATTGTGTGATAGAAAACTGATAGTTAAGTGTTTCCCCAGAGGATCATATGGTCACCACATGTACTAGTACTCTCCCTATAGGCTAGAACTCACCAAATTTCAAAGCCTCTCATTTGCATGATCGGCATAAAATGCTTGTATCATTCCACAGGCCATTTGTGCTCTACAAACATCACTCCTCCAGAATCTCATATTCTTACATTCGACTCATTAACATCAAGACATGAAAGGGAAAAAAACATTTCTGGTAGCATAGTATATTAAAAATACTGCTTTATTACAATAAAAAAAAGACACTCACAAACAATCAATAAAGGTTCATCACATGAATTTTGTGCTGCCAGATATGCAGTGGAAGTGTTGTATCTCACCCACTTTGCATCTCTTAGCCACATTTCAGTTTTGACGTTACATCCAGTTGCCAAATAGCTAAGCACCAACACATTTCGTCCTTCTGACTTTGTCACAGGCGGCCATCATTCCATTGGTGTGGACCAGCCCATTGGCTAAATTTAAAAAAATGACCCATCTGTGGCCAGCTTTACTTAGAACTGTGTAAGCCCAATCATCCTGAACATGACTGTTTCCACCCTCATGCTATCTTAGGAATAGCCACTTTTTGTTGGTTATTGAGATCAACAAATGTATTTATAAAAAGCACTATCATAGTTGTCCAGTCTAAATTACATTTTAAAAAATGGTCTGAAAGGCCATTAGCTCATTTTAACAGGCATAAAGTGCCTAAAAGCACTAAGAGAACTTGAGGCCTTATCACCAAAAGTTCATAGTAGTGCCATTGAGCGACTTTTTAAATGTTTTGCTGGCAGTAGCAATAGCACTTTACCCTAGGTCAGAAGAAATGTTTGATATGCAATAGTTAAATATAGAGGATGCCAGACAAGCTTTGAAATATATGGTGTCCGTAGTGTAGGCGCTGTGCCCTGTTTTATAGTTTTGAGAAAGCATTGAATGTAAATACTCATTATTTTAAGCATAGAAGAAAGCTCAATGCCATGTGTTAGGTCATATACTTCAGACAGACTGTCTAGATAACAATCCCAAGCTGTGAATAGACCCAACAGTGCATTACAAGGTCACAATGCACCACATTAGCTAGATTAGAAAAAGCCTGGCAGCACAACAGAAAAACAGCATGTCCTTATCTCGCTTTACTCACTGCCTCATTAAAAGTAGAGTGACGAACACTTGGGAACCATTTCTTGGAAATTATTCTCCTATGGATGCCTTTCTATCTGTAAGATTAGACATGATTTCAAGCTAGAAATAAATAACGTTCAGGAAAAAGGCAATCACGCTTGGCAAACAAAGTTTAATATTCCTGTCTTTGCTATATCAAGAGCCAAAAACATATTTAATTTAAGATTGGTCCTATATAACATGTTTACATTCTTTGAAATCTTCCAAATCGAATTGTAATTTATACAAAGCAATGTAGGACAATAATATGTACTGTTTCTAGGATACCCTTTTTATAGCTACAATGTTTTAGCAAATCTAGCAAATCTAATTTTATTTGAGTGTGTTGAGTGTCAAGAACAGACATCTGTTGAAACCCTACTCATAATTAACAACCATAGAATTGATGGGGACAGTGGCAAATAAGTTATTAGGGTCTCTGGATCAACTTGAATCGCCCCCATCAGGCTTAATGGCCCACTTGCAATTATTATAAAGGCTAGAGTGCCTACTTTATCCCGTCTGTATATGCACCACTGTTTTAAATCAACAATTACAAGCTGAATTATATATATATTTCAGGTATATATATATATATAACATATATATATATATATATATATATATATAGTGAAGGAAATAAGTATTTGATCCCCTACTGATTTTGAAAGTTTGCTCACTCACAAAGAAATGATCAGTCTAAAAAATCAAATGGTAGGTGTATTGTGAGAGACAGAATAGCAACAAAAAATTCAAAAGAAATGCATGTCTAACAAATTATACACTAAACTGGGGTAAATATTGTGATTTTTTTTTTTTTAATCATTAAAGTGTATTTTTTTCTCAAAGCTTTTTTTTTTCTCTTTCATCCCGCTACCAGAACTATATACTGTATGTAGCTGTTTATACAGCACTTACAGCCACTGCATCTGTTAGTGAAGAAAATAGTTTGTTTGGACCTGCTTGGTCCAAATTACCTATTTACACCTCACTGAAACCTGGAGATCAGCTCATCCCCAACAGTTATTACCTTTTGTATCACTTTACCCTCCCCTTTTAGATTCTAACTAGCGGGGCCCTCTGATTCCTCCTGTACGGAATTGTATTGTAAATCTACTGCTTGCCCTCACAATGTAAAGCGCAGCGCAAACTGTTGGCACTATATAAATCCTGAAAAATTATAATCAACTTTAAGAATTCAATATCACTTATTCAGTAGGGTTAGGCTGTGTGCCTTAACGTGCATTTCCACTTGTACAGCCAAATTGGGATAGCACCTACTTTATCTTTTTTACATGCATAAATTAAAAAATCTTTAAAAACTGCAGCTTACTTGATTAGATTCTCTATTCTGGACCCTTCAGGAAGGAAAAATCCTAGGTAGTTCTCATTGTTTATCAGGGGGCTGGGCAGCTGTGTAATAAACCCTGTTTGCACTCTGCAGGCAGATCTTCATCAATTGTAAGTAGATTTGAACACTGTCTGTCCTAACAAAGGGTTACAGGCAGGGGCGGACTGACAACTCATGGGGCCCCGGGGCAATAGGGGATCATGGGGCCCCTGTGTCCTTGCCCAAGCTCAAAAAAGCCTATGAAAAAGGTACCAGGGGCATCTCATAGGGCCCCCTACTGACCCCAGGCCCTCGGGCAGTGCCCGAGTTTCCAAATGGTCAGTCCGCCCCTGGTTACAGGTGTAGTGGCCTGACTTCTTGCCTTCTATTTTAATGAGGACATACTTGAGTCAGACTCACTCTAACACTCTAAATGCATACTGTGTGAATGGGAACACATAGACATATAGTGAGGTTTTCTCATATATGAATGGAAAAGAGGAATTAGATTTTAAAATGTATGTCCTGGCAAAAAAAAGCAAACATCTTTGCAATACATGTGCATGCAAGTACAGGGAATACCTGTTGATCTGCCAAAAGATGCACTCAGCACCCAATTCCTGTGGTGGGCTGACAACACACACAGCATTTTTGTGGACTGAGTGTAGTTAGCCATGCTCAGTGGTCTTTTGCTAAACTACACAACCACTCTCCCTCTCACATCTTGATATTATAAAGGTAAAGTATACTGTATTCAAAATAAGAACTAAGAAGAGTCATAGGAAGTGTGCACAGGAATAGGGCTCAGAATTTCCAACAAGATCAACGCTTCTTTTAGCACTTATCAAACAAATATAACAAAATGCTTCCAATAGTATACTAAACAGACCAAAAGGGAGTGAATAAGAGAAGTTCACTGTTAGGGCTTTTTTAAACTTTAAGTTAAAATGTGCGGTCAGGCTGCGTTTTTACTTCCCCTCCCTAAGCTGAAGAGGCAGTGGATGGGGGATGTTTATATGTTTTGCTGCCACAACAAAAAAAGATTCCCCCCACCATGTTTTCCGGATAATACTGCCACCAAATGTGACCCATTCAGGTGTATGGCACTGTATGTGATTTTGGCTTAGTGGTGTGGAGTTTTCAGGGCTAAAAATCTGACAGATGCTTCTGAAAAGCAATTTGTCTGTAGATCATAGGCACAGCAATCTTGCTGCACGTCTAAACCTAGCCTTAGGGTTTCCATACAATTTAAAATAGATTGGAAAAAAAAGAAAAAAGTACATCTGAAAAGTATAACAAAACCTCCTTCTCTGAAAAGGACATGGTGTCCTGTGGGAAGGGGCAGAACAATTCCTGTTTAATCCCCATGCCAAATAGTTACTAAACTTAGAAAAGGAATGACAGGCCGCAGTTTTTCTTAGAGCTTTAAAAGTTACAAGAGCTTGTCATATTATATTTAGTTATTAAGTCTCATTCTAAAAATGTGAAAATGATTCAAAACACTGTCTTCTCTCCTTCAGGAAGTGATGCATGCTCTAAGACTCTAAGACAGACCTGGCACACTACCTGCTTTGTCTGTGCTGCTTGCCGGAAGCCATTCGGTAATAGTCTTTTCCATATGGAGGATGGAGAGCCATACTGTGAAAAAGGTAACAAAGGCAATTGCGACTTGGAAAAACGATTACAGTCTCACATTTCTGTGTGTGCTACAGGCTCACAGTTCATTATAAAAATACCGCTACATGTTCAAGTTTAGCTCTTTTGCTAAATATGCCTTTGAGCCTGATAACTGATGCATCACACATGTCCAGTGCCAAGCACACTGTTGTTCCACAGCCCCTGGAGTATGTTACCCACTGACTATAGATGATGAAGGACTGCTTATTATAAAAAGACATGAGCATTGAAATTGTTGTATACCCAAGGTATGCATACATTCTATTGTGTGTACATATAACCTATAGGCAGTAGGTTATGTTGCAAGCATTATGTTTGCTTAAATTTGGAAAACAGGGCAACACTATACAGTTTCCAGCACATTTTTAAACAACTTTGGTTTCTGAATATTCTGATGTTGGGTGTTGCTGGACACTCAAATGCATTGATCTTGCCACCAAAATCAGGCTCCTGTATGACAGTCTAAACCAGGGGTCTCCAAACTTTCTAAACAAAAGGCCAGTTTACTGTCCTTTAGACTGTAGGGGGTGTGGACTGTGCCCCAAGGGAGTAAACAATGCCTCATTTTTGGTATTAGGGGGAGAAATAGTGCCCCATCGTTGGTGTCAGTGGGAGAAATAGTGCCCCATTGTTGGTGTCATTGGCAGGAATTATGCCCCATTGTTGTTGTTAGTGGCAGGAATAATGCCTCAAGGGCTGGACAAATTTAAGAAAAGGGCCTCATGTGGTCCCCAGGCCATAGCTTGGAGACCACTGGTCTAAACAAGTATGAAATTCAGTTACTATGTCATACACAAGAATCTGAAAAACTTCCTTTACTTTCTCTGACTGAATCAAATCCTACTTCATTTGTGTTTCAAATGCCCCCCTCCCCCAGACACTGCAGCTTATAGTGGGAAGGTTCTAGCAACAGAGGCAGTGTTATTAATTCAGAAAGCAGTTGGCAGGACTAGGTGCGGCCAGGTTCTGACTGAAAAGTCATAGGCTTGAGAATCAGCAGTGACAACGCTGATAGCCACACCCACTGCAGCAGTTTTTTTATCCCACTGTAGTACAAGCAGGCACAGTTAATATTAGTGGCAACTCTTCTCTGAGCTCAGGAGCAGTGCAGCATCATTGCCAAACCATGACAGGCAGCTGCATTAGGTGGACTTCACTGTCAACGGGTGGGACTGTCAATTTGTGGGACATTGCATTGGACTAAGATAATTATATGTGCATCTGCACTTACAGTTAAGTTCCATGGCAAATATTTTTTAATGGGATGCCATAGTTCTGCTTCTACCTTTTACATGTACCCAAGACATCAGTTTTGATCAAGCTTTCCTTATACTGTTATATAACGAAATGTAAAAATGTACATGTAAAAAATGTGTCATTATAAATGTCCCTTTACTTCCAGTGAATAATGTAGGCTTTAAATCATAAATAATAGATCTGTTAAAGTAGGAAATCAAATCATTTGCACAAAGTCACAAATCTTCCTTTCGGAATAGGTTACTAATCTTTTTGCTCTCTGCCAATTTATGACAAAAAACTGGAATGTATTTCATCTATTTTATAGCAAGTACAAGCGACCAGTCTTAACAGAAAAACAGCTAATTTGTTTAAAATGACTCTTCCATTTAAAAGGACATTTTTTTTATTTAAAGTGGATGGGTGTGTGGATAGCTACATAAAGCATATTAATCATGTACCGGTATATTTCATCTTCCTGTTTAGATGTAGACTGCTCTGTGAGACAGAAGGAACTCTGGGCTGTCAAGCTCTGCATTTTTCTTGTTTAGGCACCATTCACACTTGGGGATTGGGAATCTCCGGCAGAATCGGCAAAATTCTGCCCGGGATTCCAAATCGCAGTAAAACGTGCAACGTGTGTTTTAGGTGACATAATTCTTAATGGAACTCCAAATGGGTTGCGATTTTGCCATAATTGTCACACAAAAGAATCACATGCAAAATGAGGCAAAATGCGCCTTTAAAAATCACTCAAAGCCCATCACCCAAAAAGGAGCAGGAGCTACTTTGGGGCAACAAACCCACATAGGACAACCCTTTGAAGTGAATGGGCTGCCTTATATACAACACATAGAAACGCAATTGAAAAATCGCAAGCAGGGACACTCATTCCTGCTACGCAAGTTGTGAACAGGTTACTAGTGTTGCAGTCAAAATTTGGGTACAGATTAAAGGCTAAATTCACCTATTATAAAAAAAAAAAAAAATAATAATAATAAATGCACATCTTTTTGCAGGTAAAATAATGTGCATTTATTATTTTTTAACTCTGCACCCTGTCAGGATCTTGCATACCTCATATGGGCAGACAGTTACTGAATTGCAGGAAGAATCAACAAACTATGAGAGCACTCACCAGCAGCCTCACAGTTCAATAAGAAATACAAGCTGTCAGCCTCGGTGGCTTATGGTAATTGTGGCTCATTTACAAAACTCTGAAGGAATGACATGGCCATGTGGGTAGAGCTCCACACGGCTGTGAGGTTTTTAAATTCTGGCAGCGGGTGTGGGAAGAAGATCCCCCCTCCACTGTCCTAGGAAAGGGATATCAAGGGGAGAGGAGACTGGGGCTGGAAGATGTTACAAGTTTCAACCGAATTACGGGTAGAACATGTAACATGTTCCAAAGGTGAACTTATCTTTAAAAGGAAGATGATAATTCGCATTTGAACATTGTTGCAATGCATTTTTTCGGCACCTATATTCCTATTTTTAATGTTATTGTTTAAAAGTATTAAGAGATAAAAACATAACTTTCACATGAGTTTATCCACAAAATAAAAAAAATAAAAAATTTCAAATTCAACATTTTTCCAATACAAAAGATACCCTTTTTTATATATATATATATATATATATATATATATATATATATATATATATATATATATATATAAAAAACACTTACATATGACATTTGCACCCCATTCCCCTATAGAATAAAACAACATTTGTAGTACACCTTAACACTAATCATACTGTTCCATAACCCACCCACCTTTCAAAACCTCTCACCAAATACCATCTCTGGACAACATAACAAATTCACAAAGCCTGCCCCACTCCTTTCTTGCATTTACTTATCAACTTCATACACAAAACCCACATCCACCCACGTCATTAGTATGCAAAACTTATCCCTTCCTTAAACTATTCCTAAACCCTATCCCTGCACAAAACAAAATACTGTTACACACTTTCCCCACACTGACCCTCAAACATTCCTATATTTACCCTATAGGAATAAAAATCACACTGAAGAGAAACACCCCCTAGCATGGATTTTTTTTCACTGTATAGAATTAACAATTCCATATTTCTAATACTTTAAAGAAACACTTTTTGTTTGTTTTAGATGTGTAGCACCCTTCTAGATAAGTTGCTAGAATGATTAGAAAAATGTAGCTCTTTTGGCTCCTATGTAGTTGGTGGAGCAGTTTCTGATTGATTTGGGCTGTTCTGGATTTCACTAGCTCCAGGTTTTGATTGTTTCACCCTGTCCTCTGGAGGATTGTAGAATGGGCTGGAAAAAGCAAATCAGCAGCCTGAAAATGTATGTTGTCCCAGCCAATCCCTGGGGGAGGTGGCCAAGGAGTGCATAAATAGTCTGGAGCAGAACTGTTCTTGTCCAGCAGGAGAAGTTCACAGCCTGAAGGGCTGCTGTCCTTCTGGGTAGCTCAGTTGAAATTCTGCATGTGCTCACCAAAGGCCCAGCTAGATCAATGCTGGGAGGTCTACTTTTGAGAATCTTTGGAACTAACCAGGGATTTCACTGGGACTTTAGTTTGGAAAGCTCACTGGCGAATGTCTGGCTGATATTGGAAGGAGGCATCCAGTTAAACAGGGTCATTTTGAGTGCAAAAACCTGAGTCTAGGATCCTAGTGACTGTTCGTTGTTTATCTTGTGCACAAGAACCAGTGGTTGCTTTGACTGGAACCATTCCTAAAAAGTCCTGGTACTGGCCATTCTCTTAGCTCCTGCTGTAAAGACTGTCCTAAAAAGCATAGATATACTGAAGAGCATCCCCCTGTTACTGCACAGTGTTGCTTGAGTATCCCATATCTCCCTTCACCCCATCCAAGTTATTCAGCAATAAATCTCAAAAGACAACCTCCTAGACTGATCATTGAGATTGAGTAAGTGGTTGTTGCTATTTGTTGTTGTTTGTGATTCTGCACAAATTTGGGAGAAGAACCTGTGGTAATCAGCTGCCCCCGCGGAGCAGGTCAGGATAAGAACCTTCAACAGGTTTTAAATGTGGTCTGTGTCCCCAGTGGGGAGACTTTCCTTCACTTCCTCATCTGACACCCTTCATCTAGGATAGGAAATGAGGGGAAAACTCCAAAATGGGTGCATGTGCAGGAATATAAACTCGGCAGAATTTCTAACCCCTTCCTTCTTCTATCAAAGAAAAAAAAAAAACATTTTGCTTTGTGGCTCATTTTGTATAAATGATTAAAATGTTGGCCTAAACCATCTGATAAGGGAAGAGTCACTACTATGATAGCACATTGGGGTTAATTTAATAAAGGCAGATAGGTTGTTCACTTTGCAAGGGAATTTTGCATTAGCTTATTGAATGAGGGAAGGTCCTGTTGACTAATCCAATAATGTGCAAGCAAAAATATATTTTTTAATTATTTTCCTTGCACCTGGGCATTCTTTGCAAATTGGACTTTCGCCACAATCACAAAGCTAAGGGGAAATGCCTTTGCAAAGTGAAACATCCTTTGCAAAATGCCACAAACAGCCAACTAGCCCTTAGTAATTCAATCCCATTGAGTACTGTAACTGAGGGCCTTCCCCTTAGCACAACTGAAATAGCTGATGATGACAAGAGGCTATAACTCTACCTTCTGTCTTCAAAGATATTAATATACAATACATTATTACCAGAAAATTACCTCCAAAGTCAGGCCAATGGGTGTGCATGGCAATCCACAAGTGGACCCTGCATATGGGAGGCAAAAACATAATGACCATCCAGTGGGGGACAGAGCTGCAAGCTATGATTGACAGATTGCTAGGCTGTTACTGACCCTGGCCTGCATGCAGCCTGACAACCTCTATAATGTTGCTAAAATGTCCGCATGAGGTCACTGAGGTACTGGCCAGTAGTAAGAAAAAAAAATCTCAGCCTACAATCAGTCAGCAATTCCTGCGGGCCAAGACATCAGTCTTGTGTCCAGTTGCATTATCACACAGATGGAGCTAAAGCAGTTATGAAAAGCTTTCATAGCTTTCAGTTATGTGAAAGTAGCATATATAGTGTAAGAATTAAGAAACATTGGGGCAAAACAACGTATTACTTATTAAGCACAGAGGAAAAATTTTTTGGCAGAATGTACTTGCTTGCCTTTATGTGGCAAAAAGAGGAGATATCAGTCAGTGGAGTTGAACATTGCTTTCATTCAGCTAGAGTGATAAAAAGGACCACCATATGAATCATACTAGTTATTTGTTCGATGTCACAAACAAAGGTTAAAAAAAAAGAAACTATATAAAGAACTGTATGTGCAGAAAATAATGTAGTTCACCAATGTAGATTCTAATGTGGAAACTCAAGCAACAGCCAAGTGTTTGGAGTTAACATTTCAAAACACATATCAGCCTAGCAATCTAGCAGTGAACACTGCTAGATGATTTTGGAGTTACACAGGGGTAAAATACCTGTAAAAGAATCTGGTCAATGCTCCCTGATGTCTCCGCTGTCCTCCAACATGCACATTGTACACTTGATGGTGTGCTTGGCAGAACCCCATACCAACGACTCTAGCAATGTACTGCTGAAATGTCAACAGGGCGTAGTAGTGAAGCCCCATTTGCAGCTTCTGAGTGTCTACTGCAAACTATCAATCAGAAGCTAGAGACTAGCGTCACTAGTGTGCAGTGCTGCAAATCAGATGGACATAATCTTGCTGAGCATGGACCTGAGTCTTTATACATTCATATTACATGGTACTATATGTCAGAGGGATGGGAAAACAAGGACTGTGCATAATTTATGATTTGAAGACAGGGCAGCTGATGATCATATGAGTACCCAAAGGGCATTCTGGACATTTACCATGTATGTATTCCCACAAATGCTGGCTATGACTATTGTGATATGGAGGTTATTTAGGTTAGTGATAGATGTGTTTCAGGGAGTAGATGCCAGTTCTAACTGTAGTTAAGGGCTTGCCAACCCACTTTTATTAAACAATACAAAAGTAAAAGTCACAAAAATATTTACCCACGAAGGATATTTTCACAATCAAAAAAAGGTAACAAAAATGTCAAGCCACCTGACTTTCACTTCACCAGCTCCACTGCTCTTGTCAAGATCCTTCAGATCCATCTCTCCCAACTGAGTTTGTCTGGTTCACCCAGCCTTTAGTTATAGCACCCAGCTGCATGGGCCCACTCCCTGACCTCTCATTAGGGGATCTCCTGCACCCCAGGTTCTTTACAGAGACTCATAGACTCCTTCAGTCCCCTGGAATCGCTTAGTTGCGTTAGCTCTCCAAGTCAACCAGACTTGCTCATTGAAGACTCACCCAAATCTCTTGGAAAGTCTCCAAGCTCCAGACCCCAATCCAGGATTACAAAACCCTGAGAACATTGAAACCTCAGTCTTCTTGTCTCCAGACACAATACTCTGGAGCCCCTCAAGCTGTTGAGAATCTTGAGAATCTTATGCGTCGTCTGTCCATACTCGCTCAGTTTCAAGGCCTAGTACTGTCACAGTATACAATGCATTGCAATGCATCCAACTGGTCATAGAATGCAGGAATTATCCTTCCCTTTAGAAACTAGAGATTTATCCAGTTCCAACCTGAATAAAATGTAAATGATGTCATTACCTGCACTGCAGCAGGCTTGACACTTTTGTTTCACTAAAAAACTGTATACATTGGAAGCTTTTACGTGAAAGTACTAAGCACTTTATTTCCACTTGTCTAAGAAATAGCAAGTAACTTCTGGGAAGTGATTACCTCAGTTTTCTACCAGGTACCTACCATGAACTTTCAATAAGGATAAATAAGGTAGTGTTTGTACATGAGAAAGATCCTAACACAGCTCTGAACAGGAGACGTTTGAGATCATACCCATACCATAAGTTACAGATCAACCAACTCATAGCACACTTATTTGCTTTGCAGATTATGTTGCTTTGTTCAGTACAAAATGCCATGGATGTGATTTTCCTGTTGAAGCTGGAGACAAGTTTATTGAAGCCCTTGGCCACACCTGGCATGATACTTGTTTCATCTGTGCTGTGAGTATCACTTTCCACATGCCCATCATATCTTGTTATAATCTTGTCAGCTATCAGAATGTGCAAACAAAAAAAAACCTGCAATAGTAAAAATAAAGTAGCATATTTTTTCTACCTTGTCCTGTTTTAATGCTTTGCCATATGAGGCCCATTACAATAGATGAAATGTACAGTCCAGGCTGTAATTAATTAGCTAATAACTTTAAAGTGTTACTAAACCCAAAACAGTAAAATCAGTCTGTATATGTAGTAAAAGCATGCTTGTTATATTCACTGTGAATCCTAAGGGGTTAATCCTCCACATTGTGTAAAAAAAAAAAAAAGCTGGTTAATCCTGTCACCACTGATCTTCCCCTTATTTTACTGCTCCCAATCTATCTGCCATAGTTAGAGCAGCAGTGGCAAATCTGCACACGCTCTGTTTGGTGTGTATTGCTAGAGAGTTCTTTTTTTTTCTGGGGGGGGGCTGCATGTGATCATCACAGGGCCAATCAGCGCTGTCCAGACAGAGGAGCAGGGGTCATGCAGCCTCATAGGGCAGACAGAGGAGAATGAAATCTCCTACAAAATAGTTACAAGGCTGCTATATACTGCTGATGAGAAATGGTATGTAGCAGTTTATATTTACTAAAATAATTGCATTTCTATGTTCCGTGTACTGTGGGAGACCAGTTATAGTGAATGTAGAGTCCTGAGTTTAGTAACACTTTATTTATACATGTTAAAGTATTGAAACAGTCTTTAAAAACATACCAAGTAACATAAACATTTTGGGTTACAGGTTTGTCATGTGAATCTGGAGGGCCAACCCTTTTACTCTAAAAAGGACAAGCCTCTTTGCAAGAAGCATGCCCACGCCATCAATGTGTAAGAAACACCACTGGCTCTTTTGCTGGAGGCAAACGGCTAAGAGAAAAGCCAACCTACTGGTCAACACAAATTTTTGCATATTTCCAACACTGCAAATGATGATGCAGTTAAATCAGTTTTATCAATCTAAAAAAGCAATACCATCGTACAACAGAGTACAATGAAAATGTTTGGTTTAAGAAATCTATGAAAAGTGTAATATTTGACAGCTAACTTTGTTGCTGTGCCTGAGTGTGATTTTTTTTTTTTTGGTTTGTTTTTTTAATTAGGAAAGATTTGTTAAAATATACACCAAGACCTCTAGCAGATGGGTATAAACCATATGTGTAGTGTTAGTCAGTATAACTAAATGGGCACATGGAAAAATGCCTTGCAGTTTTTACTGATCACTACTGGATTATTAACTGTCTTTGAGGTTTGACAGAAATTGAATCTTCTGCTAGACTCATCAAATATCCTGTGGTCTCTGGAAAAGTCATCAGAACTTTAGGTTTCAGTGACAGGTATTAAATGATACTGAAATTGTGGAAAATGATTGAATGTTTTAATGCTGATTACTTAAGCTTCAAACTCGAGACTTAGTCTAGGCCATCGTTTACACTAATGATACATCAAACACCACTTTCAGAATTAAATTAGCCTCCTGAGTTGTCACGTTTGGAAATGACAGAGCAGCAATATAAAATGTGTTAACACTGTTTCTAAAACATTAGAACGCATTGTGTACATATCCACTGCCTGATCTGAATTTACGGCTGTGGGAAAAGTTACCTCCTTGACGCCAAAGGGGTTTATTAAACATACAGTTCTAGAGCAGTTTTGTAAAAGTACATGGAAAAGTCATTGTTCGAATGATGCTGATGGGAGATTGAACACAGAGCTAGCAGAAAAATAAGCAGAGTGCCAAGCAACCAGATGTATGGTATTTTTAGAGCCGCCGTGGATAGTGTTTTAAAATAAATGAAGTGCATCTTTGCCAAAAAAGGAAGTGCTGCTCTACTGTTTATATCATGGTCCCCCGGCACCTTTCTAAGCATAGAGGGATTGGGCAATACATAGTCTAGTCGCCAGAACAGAGTAGTCCCAAACCATCGCTTAAGTGAAAAAAAATAAAAAAAGGAAAAAAAAAAACATTTTGCTATTTTTACTAGTAGTATTAATAGACAATACAGCACAGATTCTCTTCTCATTTACAGCATATAGAGCTTTGCAGAAAGACATGCTTCAGATATATTCATTTTTTTTTACAAAGCCCCTGCTTTACAAAGTTTTATTTTCCTTCTAGGCTTACCAAGTTGGTTAATACAAAGCATGAGAAGGTACACTCACATTTGTGATAATTTGTCCAGTTAGCTGAGGTTGCAGCAAATGCAAAACGTAAAAAAAAATGATTATCATGATAGGAGCCAATAAAATTAAACTTTAACAATCATTTTTACATATGCAATTCTAGTTATTCCCCTTTTCAGTGCATGAAAGCTAGGTTGGCAGTAAATGCGATGTTTACAGTTCATAAAGATTTCCTATGTAAATAGGTTGAATACTATACAGTTGAAGCATGGATCCAGTGTGGTGTGTTTTTAAAAAAATAATAGACCATTTATTTCAAGTTATGTCACATTTTTACAGATTTTAAGCAATTATAAAAATTTGCAATAGGCCCCCTCCATCTTTCTGATTTCAGAATAAGAGGTGCCATCTTTATCCTGATTCTGCTTACCAATCTCTCATAATTCTGCAGCTTCTCACTAGCAGATGTCAGCTTGTGAAACAAAACAACAGTGAGGGATAATGTGATTCCAGTATCTCTCCAGTTAAATGCTGTAGATTCTGAGAGTGATCTAAAGATGGTGAATGGAAGTAACGGCACATTCTCTTGTAGGAAAACATATAATGAACAAAAATCTATGTTCATCGCAGACCTATACTGAAAATGTATGTTGTGCCGCATAATGCTGAACCAATGATTTCAATACTTTGACCGAATAACCCAGAATAAATGTGCTGACTTTGCTTGTTGCTTGCTTGTTTTGGCGGGTCAGCGTTTCAAAGCACTGAAGTTAGACAGATAGAAAAAAACTGTCAGATTTCAATGGCAGCCCCAAGTTTTCCTCAGTGCAAGTTTCCTTGAAAGAGAACCTGTAGTTGGTCCATGAAGTGCAAAGCAATGGAATTCCTCACCAACCAGCTTCTTCAGCTGCACATACCTAACCCCTTTTTGCTCCTCTGCTATGCCCTGTGTAAGCCACAAACTGCTGAACTGGAACTTACAAAGCACTAAAATACTTTCTCCCCATATCCAACACCAATGGATCCTTGAGCAGCCAGTAATCAAGCAATGGTGATGTCACATGGGAGGAAAAGGAGTGAATCACATGCTCCCCATAAGAGAATGAGCCAAATTATTATTATTATTATACAGGATTTATATAGCGCCAACAGTCTGCTCAGTGTTTTACAATATAAAGGGAGACAATACAGTAACAATACAGTTCAATACAAGAGGGATAGGAGGGCCCTGATCCTGGGAGCTTAAAATCTAGGAGATATCTCTCATTACATAAAGGTAGCAAAGCGGTGGAAATGTATGTGCTGCTGTGTAGGGCTTTATGTCTTGCAAGGGTAGGGGATAGGTTCATTAATGAATATGAACACTAATAAATGATAGTTAACGGTAAAGTGTAGATTTTGTTTTTAATGGTATGACAGAGTCGGGCCAGAGATGGGTGAAAAACTAAGTAAAGATACAGGGTGAAAAATCTTGTGTAGGTATGCTGGCACAGTCACATGCTATTAGATTATTCACATTAAAGCAGTATTTAACCCCCCAAAAAATTTAATATATGGCAGCTTACCAATCCTTAGATGTGGCAACTGCATCCGTTTTCTCTTTTAGCTTTTTTTGTGCTTTATTTCACCTGGTGATCCTGCTAGTAACACATCATCTCTGTCTTAGGGTGTCTGCATCCTGGATTAAGTAGTAAAGCAGACACCTTTAGACAGGACATTGTCATTCTTGGGGGAGGGTAGTGTTAGACTGGCAGGTTTACAGAAGATGGACTTGGCTAACAAACTATGGCTGAACTCCAGCTAACATTTTATAGGCAGTTACTGCAACATTTTTTTTTTCTTTTGGGATAAAGGTTTTAGATTATTGAACAATGCTGCCCATTGTAAGCAAGCCTGTCAGTGTTAAATGCTTTGTCCCAAGTCTCTAACTGCTACTTTGTCTGGACAGCTTGGTCTATTAAAGCAAGTTGAAAAATAAAAGACTTACTGGCTGGATCACCAGGTGAAAATAAAGCAAAAAAACCCTAAAAAATAAAACAAAAGCAGTCACCAAATATAATAATTAGAAAGCTGCAATTTATTAAATTGTTTTTAGGTTTAATACTGCTTCAACGTGCTTTAAACCATTTTTTCATAGTTGCAAAACTGCAAAGCAAGGCAAGTTACATAGCACTATGCACCTTGACCATACATGTGTCAAATATAGGCAGCGTGGCTTACACAATGTTTGCATAATTTTCCTGCTCTGATATTATCAGATTTTCTATGGCCTAGTCATAGAATAGTAAATAATGCAGAATACTAATGAAAAAAGTCCAGTAGAGGCTAAGGACTTGAAAGCTGTGTTGTATCAAAGCTGGCCTAGCTAATCTTGATTTAGTAAAATACTGTAGCGTGTGGATGTATCTTTTCTATGATGCTTTAGCATGAGTGTATTTACAGAATTATTAGAAGTTAGATAAGCATATTTTGTCAGTATAGCGTTCTTGTCAACAGTCTCCCGCTGAATTAGGAGACAAAGTATGTTACACCTTAAACCTGGCCAAAAGTCCTCAAAGAAATTAAAATCTAGAATAGTTGATTGGCACTTCTAAACATTTGAATCTGATAAGTATGGTATACAGGCTACATAGCATACTATGCTTACAGGGGGTGAACAAGGGTTTGGTCCGAACGCATATTCAGACCAAACCTGGATTCAAGTGGTCACTCCTGCCAGATCACCTCCCAATCAGCCTCAGACAATGATGCCAATAACCAAATAAGGCCATTCGGCCATATTAGGTCATGGATGTGACGAGCATCCCCACCTCTTTGTCATAGCTTGCTTCTCGTTTCGGTCCGAACCTAAGTTTGGAAAAAACCCACGCTTATCCCTAATGCGAATACAACGCTTTTAGCATAAGCATAGTTTGCAAGGTAAATGCTTTAATAATAAAAATTAATTTATATTATACTTACCTAATTGCCCATGTTAAGTAGTTTTGCTTACTTTTTTTTTTTACTTTGTAATATATGAAGCTTATACATTTACAGCATTCTTATAGTAATGGGATAAAAAGCAATAGAAACGAAAAGCATATTCAAGTACATTTATTCTGACTTTACAAAATAACATGTGTGCCTTTTAACGTGTGTTGATAAGGAACATTTTATATATATATATACAGTATATATATATATATATTTTAATAGTAGTATTTAAAAGAAGTTTGTGGAAAATTAAAAACAAATGATATATGTAGCTAAAATGACTAGCTATACTTCTTTACCTAATATTTTCTACTGTTTCTGCAACTAATATTAAACAAAATATGTTTTTTGTGAAATATAAAAATATTTATATAAAAATAGAAAAAAATAACCAGAATTTCAATTTTAAAGTCAGTAGTTATTTTATGATAAAATATTGAGATTTATTTATTAGTGTGTGAATATTCTATACCTTGGTTTAAAGTTTGATAAAGAAAAAAAAAATTAGATGTGCAATAATCTTGAGAATTAATTAAACCTCAATGGGCCCAGTCATTATTGCAGTTTTAATTTAGTGTCTCACATGGGTTTTAGCACTTCTAAATATTGCTGTTAAAAGGATCAGGTGATCTAACACAAAGTTATGCTTATAATGTACAAATTGTGTACAAACTATGCATACTTGTTCAAACCTGGGCCATGGACAAATGTATGTTGATGTTTCATTTTACTTTTGTT